CAGATGCCAGGGGCCTGCAGGGCCCCTGGAGGTGGCACGGGCTGCTTAGTACCTCTGAAAACCGGGCCCCTGACATCCTTGCAGAGGGAGGTCAGGGAGTGTGCTGGGGAATGCCTGGCTGACGCTGCATGTGCGTTGGCAGAAGGTGTCCGGAGCAGGGCTCCAGTAGCCGATGGACCAAGCCTTTCCTGTGGAGACCCTGTCTTACCACAAGTGTCGGCATGGCTTTGCTGCTCTTTAGCCCTGGCGGGAACACACAGCCAAGTCTCTCTGGAGCTCTGCGGGCTTGGTTCTCTTACTCACAGCACTGCCAGTCAGGTGCTGCTCCCATGACATCACCACGTGGTCCTGGTGTGAAGTGTGGTGAGCAAGGCAGGGCCCTGCCAAATTCACAATCGTGAAAAACATGTCACCATGAAGTCTAGTCTCTCCCTGTGAAATCTGGTTTCAGTGAACTTTTACCTTTTACCTCGGGTTTCACTGGTGGACCTCAGGGAACCTTGCTGGGAAATGCAGGGCTAGTTGCTGTGTTGACGACAGGAGGTGATGTCCCTGCATGGTGGAGTCTGGGCAGACCTTGGCTGGGCCAGACGGCGGTAGGGTCTGTGGGAATCACCGTCTGCGGATTCCCTGTGTCTCCCATGTTCAGAAGGTTCATCTCTCCAGGCTCTCGGGTAGCAACCCCAGAGGAGCTGTCTCTTCTTCTGCCTGCCCCAGGCCCTGGGCGTTGGGAGGAGCGGGTCACAGGCATGGGCTGCCTATGCCCACTGCGCCTGGCTAGGGACGGATGCCCTGGGAAAAGACGTTTCCTAAGCACATGGGGACCATACTCCCTTTCTTCTCTCTCTTCCTCTCCACAGGTGGCCCCTGGAACTTTGCCTTCACTGTTAAGTTCTACCCACCCGACCCAGCCCAGCTCACAGAGGATATCACAAGGTGAGGAGCCGGGGGCACGCAGTGTGCAGCCATGCCTGGGCTCTTCCTTCCCGACACCGCGTCTGTCCAGAGAGCATTGTGTGCACGTGCAGAGCGACTGTCGGGTGGGTCCGCCTCCGCATCCGGGCGGGGATAGCTGGCTCCTGCACATGGAAGGTGGGATAAGGGACGCCCTGAAGATAAGGTGGTGGGATGTGGTGGGTTCTGGTGTGAACTAGGGGCTAGGGTGTTGGCCTCGGGAGAAAAGGGTGGTGCATTCAAGTCCCGTGTCCTCAGGGAACGACAGGATAGCCAACATGCACTGCCCTTGGGATAGAGCTGGATCCTGAAAGTGGAAGGTGGGATAAGGTATGCCCTGAAGGAGAGGCAGTGATGTGGGTTCTGGCACGGACTAGAGGATAGGGTGTGCAGGGTGAGGCAGAGCGCAGGAGATGCACATGCAGGTGCAGGGTGTGACTGTTTCTCTGGGGGTATGTCTACACTACCCCGCTAGATCGAAGTAGGAGGGTAATGTAGGCATACCGCACTTGCAAATGAAGCCCAGGATTTGAATTTCCCGGGCTTCATTTGCATAAGCCGGGCGCCGCCATTTTTAAATCCCAGCTCGTTCGAACCCCGTGCCGTGCGGCTACACGCGGCATGGACTAGGTAGTTCGGACTAGGCTTCCTAGTCTGAACTACCGTTACTCAATGAGGAGTAATGAGGAGTAACAGTAGTTCGGACTAGGAAGCCTAGTCCGAACTACCTAGTCCGTGCTGCGTGTAGCCGCGCGGCACGGGGTTCGAACGAGCCGGGATTTAAAAATGGCGGCGCCCGTGTAGATGCATTAATTCGAATTAGCTTAATTCAAATTAACTATTTTGAATTAAGTTAACTCAAATTAACGCTGTAGTGTAGACATACCCTGGGTGTGTTGTGTCTGGGTGTGTTGTGGGGGTGGGAGGGTCTATGGCATCCATCTTGCACATGGGACAGAGGATCCCCACCTGGCACAGGGTGAGAGAGCCCATCCTGAGGGTGGAGGCCCAAGGGGGCTCATCCCAAATGTGGGGGACAGGGGGTTGCTCCTGGTCACGGGCGCAGTGATGGCTGTGCATATACATGCCCCCCACCCTGTGACCATCTCCCTGCCATGGGCGGACCCCTCTGTTGGTCATAATCTGCCAGCCCCCCAGAGAGCTCAGCAGGGTGTATCCCTGAGTCCTCTCTCATCTCACCAGTTGCCCCTCCCCCCCCAGATACTACCTGTGTCTGCAGCTGCGGGCTGACATCATCACGGGGCGCCTGCCCTGCTCCTTCGTGACGCATGCCCTGCTGGGCTCCTACGCTGTGCAGGCCGAGCTGGGAGACTACGACTCCGAGGAGCATGTTGGCAACTACGTCAGTGAGCTGCACTTCGCGCCCAACCAGACCAGGGAGCTGGAGGAGCGCATCATGGAGCTGCACAAGACCTACAGGTCGGGCTCCCCTCAACCCCCGCTGTTCCTCCCAAGTGCCCTGGGTTCCCTGCTCCTCACATCCTCTCCCGAGCAATGCCCCTGACCAGACCCACAGGCAGCAAGGGGGGTCTAATCAGCCTCTCTTGGCTCCTCGTCTCCTTCCCAGGGGCATGACGCCGGGCGAGGCGGAGATCCACTTCCTGGAGAATGCGAAGAAGCTCTCCATGTACGGTGTCGACCTGCACCACGCCAAGGTACCCACGCCCACGGCGTCAGAGCACTGGAGCCCTCTCTGCGCTTCTCCTCAGACTCCATGCCCTCACCTCATGCCTGGCACCCTGCCTCGTTGTCTGTGTCCCTCTGTCTCGCTCGCACCCTCTCTGGGCAGGTCGGGGGCGTCTAGCCACACATGCAGACTGACCCATGCTAGAGCTGTTTTAGCTAGGGACCCTGTACAGACCCAAGCAGCCACCTGTGCTGCCACCACTACGCCCATCTTCCCTTTGAGCTCGCTAGCTCAGCGCGGGCTGGGCCGGGCCTAGATGTGCGGCAGTCCCACTCCCAAGGGGTACGTCCCTCTGTCCAGCATTTCCTTTCTCCCTCTCTCCCCTGCCGACCCGCGTCCCTTGTGGGTGTCTTGGTACAGCATGGTGCCTGGGATTCCAGTGGCAGCACTGAGGAGTTTGCTGCTCGTCTCACCCAGGCTGGGACAAGCAGGACTAGGGCCCCTTGTGCAGGCAAGTGGGGCCTTGCTGCCCTGTCACCTGGAACTGGAGGGCATCCAAGAGACACTCTCAGTCGCATAGTGTGACCCATGTGCCAGGGCCTGCCCTCACTCCCTGCCCACCCCGACCCTCTGCCCCAGCGCAACATTCTGGGCCTGCTAGCACCGTTGCTGGGAAGTTCGCCCCCATCCCTGAGTGCAGCTCTGTTGGCACAAGGCCTGTGGTCACCTGAACTGGTACAGGCAGTCCTCCAGCAACAAGCCCACTCTGCTGTCCAGGGCTCACAGCGTAGCCCCAGTTGCTGGCTGGTCCAGGAGCAAGGTCCTAGGTTTCCTCAGCCTGTGAGGGGAGGAATGGGTCCTGAGCGCAGTGGCAGCATTCCTTCAGGACTACAGATACCTACTCTGCCCTTGCAAAGGCCACGAAGAGCCTGGGGCCCGGCAGGGCTGAGGGGGATCCCAGGCAAAGGGAAAGGAGCTGTGGCAGGCACATCAGAAATGAAGGAGCCCAACCTCTAGCTTGGGCTGCCCCCAAGACCGGCTTGTTGCCACCTGAGCCAGGATCCCATCCCCACCCTGTGACTGAGAGTGGACACCTCACACAGACAAAGCCTCAGGCTCCTTACTGACTTAGGTGCCTCTGAAAACATCAGCCGGTCAGTACGTGGGCCCCATTGATGGGCCCCATTGTGCTGGGGAAGTGGTCCTATCTCTCCACCCCGGAGACTGCTCCAGAGCTCAATGCCACTAGGAACCCCCCGTCCCCCGACCAATTGCCCAAGCACGTCTCACAGCCAGTGTTTCTCCAAACCTCTGGCCCCCTCCCAGCAGCCTCTCCCCACTGGCCTCTCCAGCAGAGGAGCTGGGGCCACGGGAGGTGGCGTGGCTGCCCAGTGGCACTGCGAGCTTGGGAGGGAATACACTTGCAACATTTTACAGTTGGCTTCAGACCCATATTTCCAGCCTGGCTTGGAGCTGGCTCTGGACCACACTGAGAGGCAGTAGCTGGAGGGCCACTTGCCGGCCAAACTCTAACCCTCCGGCCTTGTCCTTAACCCTCCCCTCTGGCTTCCCTCAGGACTCAGAAGGCATCGACATCATGCTGGGCGTCTGTGCCAATGGCCTGCTGATCTACAGGGACAGGCTGAGGATAAACCGCTTTGCCTGGCCCAAGATCCTCAAGATTTCCTACAAGAGGAGCAATTTCTACATCAAAATCCGCCCCGGTGAGGTGGGTGTCTGACGAGAGCCCGTCCCTCAGCAGTGGGGGGCACTGGGAGAGCTTGTCCTTGCCTCCCAGGCAATGTCAGGAAGTCTCTTCTCTCCCAAGCATGCTCGTGTGCGGGGAAGGCCCATCGATATTTCAGTGCACCAGGACCAGGGGCCCCCCAAAACTCATGACAGGGGGAAACAAACCAAACCCTCTGTCTCGTTTCCAGGGGGGCGGAAGGAGTCTGAAAAAGGGAGAGAAAGTCGGATTATCCCCCAGAAGGAAACAGAACGTTTTGACTTTTATGTTCCTTCCCCTCCCGCCCAAAAGCCAGTTAGTGCCGAGGGAAACGTGGCACCGTTGCTGTGGGAACTGGCCCCCCTGTACTGCCAGCAGAGTCCTGACAGAGGAGCCGCTGCAGCCTGAGCTGAGCAGCCCCAGAGCATGCCGGGAAGAGAGACACCGGGTTTAGAGAGACACCGGGTCTGACACTGGAACCTGTCACCAGCCCGAGCCACGCCTGGGGGCCAGCAGGAACCCCGGCTGTAACCCGACTCTCCTGTGCTTTCAGTACGAGCAGTTTGAGAGCACCATTGGCTTCAAGCTGCCCAACCACCGCTCCGCCAAGAGGCTCTGGAAAGTGTGCATCGAGCACCACACCTTCTTCAGGTGAGAAGGAAGGTCCCTAAGAAACCCCCAGGAGCAGGCAGGGCACGCAGAGTGGGGGCTGGAGGCGCTGCCTGTCCTTTCCCTCCGTGTGCTTTTCATCTGCTGATGGGCTCAGGCTCTCCATGGCAGTCCGTTGCACCCTGTGCTGATTGGGGCAGCAGTGTATTTTCTCTCGGCTCCACCCTGGCAATTCTTATGCTGATTCTGGAGCCTGTTGATTTGTACATGCCAGCCTGTGCTTGGCTGGTGGTCCTCCTGGTTTCCAGAGCTCTGTTCTAAGCAGAGACAAGGTGTCCTACAGAGATCATTTTAAAACCACTGCCTGTGAGATCCTGGCCTCGTTGCAGGAGTTTTGCCATTAGTTTCAGTGAGGCCAGGATTCCTAAATGAAAAGTGGCCTGCAAGAACCATATTGAAACATTTTGAATTTTTTTTTTTTGGCATTTTTCCTTGTTTTTGTTTCAAGGTAAAGTATGCAACCAGAGTGACACCAATTCACAAAATGTCATTGAATAGATGTCTCCTGGTATCTCTCCTCCCCGCTGCTGTCCTCACCCAGGGTATGTCTACACTACCCTCCTAGTTCAAACTAGGAGGGTAATGTAGGCATACCGCACTTGCAAATGAAGCCCGGGATTTGAATTTCCTGGGCTTCATTTGCATAAGCAGGGAGCCACCATTTTTAAATCCCCGCTGCTTCGAACCCCGTGCAGCGCGGCTACACGCAGCACGAACTAGGTAGTTCGGACTAGGTTCCTATTCCGAACTACCGTTACTCCTCGTGAAACGAGGTGTACCGGTAGTTCGGAATAGGCACCCT